GCTGTTTCCCTAAAAAACCATTTTCTCGGCGGTAAAACCTAACGTAATCTCATGGCCAAAGAATCCCGACTTTTGCAGATCATACAGTGTCATGGAGTGTTCACCGAGATTCTGAAAAGCATTTTCCATTAGGAAGCAGCACTTCGATGGGATTGTGGCATTAATTATTCTGCAGCCTAATCCGAACATACTTCATGTACGTTAGCATGCCGGAATTTGAATTCACCTCACTTGAAAGAAATTTACCCCTCTTTGCGCACTGGGTTGCTGCGTGCTCTACGAGGCGCGCAGCGAATAAAAGATTGCTGGTATATGTTCCATTATGTTACCTATAACTAGTCATGGTTTAGCTGACTTTTGCGACCTACGTAAGAACTGATGACACCGTCTGCCTTCAGAGAAAAACCCAAGAAATATGCTGGACCGCGTTGTAGATGTCTTTCTTCGAATGATGAATAATTAACAAATAATAATAATAATAAAGATAACAAATTCCGATTTTGCTTAGCCGAAGAGTTTCTTCATTTTTCCGTGGCTGAACGGGGATTCATGGTTCCTTCTGAACGTCAGCTAGCTGGGCTATTGATAAGTGCCTCATCTTCCTCCCAACCACCCGCCAGTTTTCCCTAGCAGTCTGAATCCTCACAGAAAAGTGGAATTATCTATTAACTATTTGCACAGTAGTTTTCAGTAGTTTCTTGGAAAGCGTATGTTGTCTTAATCATTCTGCATTTTAAGGGATGAACTTTATATAAGAGGATGCCCAAGGTTGCGCATTCGTTCTGTGCGTGGATTGACTAATTCGTCTGAGTTACTTTTTTGTTATTTTAGCATTGTAGATTGATTGTAGATTGATAAATATTTATTTATGTATTTGTTAAGAAAAGTTGCTGATTAATATATTGGGGAAACACGCAAACACAAAATTGCACGAAATACAATCTATGTACCAATTACAAAACCCCAACATCCACTCACATTTTATCTGCGACTACGCGTTCTTACTTTTTTAATGTCTATGGCTTTCTGTTTTTAGTAAGGAAACAATACTTGTAGGGGTCTAAGTAGAAGTTGTGCCTAGATCAATACAATCATCAGATCGAAATCCCACGTTGGATGTTAAAAGACAGAAGTCACCAGAATGAGAGGTTTATTGTGTACAGAACTCCCAATTGCTGTCTCAGGTGGCAGTAGCCACTGCGTCTAGCCAAACCTGAGAGAGAATGAGACAGTGGCTAAAGCAGGATTGCGGAGCAGGTTCGAGTGTTCTGTCATTGGCGTGTTTCAATTGGCCCGAGGGAATGTTGACTGTAAAGGCCTCCTGCTGTGTTGGCCAAAGAAGTGGCGTTGTAGATGGCCCTTAGGAAGACGTGCTTATTTGGACGCGCGCGTATGCGCGGGTGCGTGCCTGAATAAGCTGAGGTCAACTGTGGGGGTCGTTTGAAAGCCGAAGGAAAGGGGACGCAGCTGTTATCGGTTAGGCAGAAGCAACTGCGAGGTCAGGCCTCGGGGGACGGGGGCGCCAGTGAAAGAAAGCATTGGAACAATTGTTTGTGACAACGCGTGACTTTGGTGCAGCGGGTCTTGGATAACGAAGGGGGGGGGACAGGCATTGTGGCCTTCTGCCACACTCTAACGCCGCTCATAG